GCGGCGGCAGCGGCGGCAGCAGCGGCGGGCAGCGGGAAGCTGGAGGAGCGGCTCTATTCGGTGCTGTGCTGCACCGTGTGCCTGGACCTGCCCAAGGCCTCCGTGTACCAGGTAGGGCCGTCGGCCCGGCCCGGCGCCGCGTCTCCTCGAGGCCGGGCCCAGGGCCGGCGGCTGGGGCCCCTCCGGCCTCACCGCGCCTTCCGCGCCCACGGGACCCTGGCGTCCCCCCGCCCCCACCCTCAGCTCCTTGTTTGTTTTCTTTCCTGCTCGGGACCCCTGTTTTCCATGTTCCCATCCCCTTATTGCCAATCTGAAGTTTCTTGTCTTAGATCCCGCCTCTTTTCTTCCAGGTTTCTCCTTGACACCCCAGTTCCCTCCAGCTGACCCTGCAGAGGGCTGGGGACAGGTATTCAAGCTCCCTGCCCAGCGTCGCCCTCACTCCCAGGCTTGCTGGGTGCCAGAGGCCTCTTTACCCCAGAGAGATCGGTTCTGTTCTGGCAGCCACACCCCCAGCCCTGTCCATCTGCTTCTGAACTTCAGTGTGTGCATCTTTTTTGCTCTCTTGGCCCTAAAGGACAGGAAGAAGGGAGGGATTGCCTTGGACCCTCCATTTACTCTCTTGCTCCTGATCTGGAGGAACTGCGCACAACAGGCCTTTAGTCTGTTTTTGTTTGTTTGTTTGGTTGGTTGGTTTTTGTCTAGTCCCAACCTAACCCACACTTGCCTTTTTGGCTGCCAGTGTTGTGGTAGGTCTGTCTCACTTCATCTGAAGACCCAACATGGCTGGTCTCAGGGCCTTTTACCTGCTCAGGGCTGTCAGATGGGGTACCCGGTCCAGGTGGGTTCAGCATTCCTTCCCAGGTGTCTGGTTGACACTTAGAATTATTGGGCAGTGTCCATCTGCCTTCCTGCATATTTGCTTTCTACCTCAGTCCCAACCCCTCTGAATATTAGGAATTGAATGTGTGCAAAGCAAAGATTCCATCACTGCACTATGTGCCCACCCTCACCCCCCTTTTATTTTTGAGTCAAGGTCTCACTGTAGTTCAGGTTGACCTTAAACTCACCCAGAATCCTCATGCCTCAGTCTCCTGAGTGTTCAGATTAAAGGCACACACCACCGTGCCCAGCCTTTTTATTTTTATTATTATATTTTTTAAATTTTGTTAGGTTGGCCAGAGTGGCTTTGAAGCGCTGCTTTTGTTAACCTCTGGCATCAGCTTCCTGAGTCATTGGGATTATAGACATTTGTCACTACACCTGGCCCCTAACAGCTTTCTTTTACACTTTTAGGAGCTGGAGGTAGCTGAAGGACTCTTGTTACTTTGTTTCTGTTTAAACAAGGGGCCTAGGTGAGGCCACTTTGTAGTAACTGGTATAGAGCTAGTCTGCATTGTTAATTCTGCAATCTCTAGATGTATCTGTCCTGTTCTGGCCTAAGGTTGCTTGGGAGGACTCCAGGATCCTGAATGGAACATTCACCATCCTGAATGTCAGGGCAGGGCCATAGTGGAAGCATTTTCCACTGCTGATCCCACTAGCAGCCTTTACTCCTTTCTTTGGGTGCCGTCAAGACCTAGTCCCCCTCCTCACCCCTCATTCATGCCCTGATGGAAAAACACTTTTTTCCCTAGGCCTGGTATGAGAGTCCAGCAAACCAAGCCAGGGAAGGGGCCTCCCAGGAGAATTCAAGGGGCGCCTTGTCTCCCCTCCTATGAGTAGGCTGGCATGATAACGGGTCACATAGTACTGGGTCCTGGGTCATCCAGAGAGCTATACCTCTGCCTATGACCAGACACTCTAATGATCAGGCCTCTCAGCCTGGCTGGCTCAAACCCTCCTGCAGTGTGCTAGGAATGAGGTCTAGTTTGGAAAGCAAGACACAGGCAGCTGAGCAGCTACAAGAACATGAAGGCAGGTACCACCCTAACCAGTGGCTCCATGCTGGACCTAGTCTGGTTTCCTTAACAGCTTCCTTACAGTGTGTCAGTTGAGCAAAGGGAGCTATATACACGGAGCCTCAACTGTGGGCTCTGCTGTCAGCTCCCCTCGCCCTCCCTACTCTATCATTCTATCCTAGGTGATACATGAAGGGAAGGTGTTTCTTATTTCTAGAACTTGGAAGAAGGCTGTAGAACTAGTGGTTGTGGGAAAGCCTTTGAGTCAATGTTGGCACACACTGTGCTTATAAACCTGCCATGTACAAGAGCAGGAGAAGAAAGGAAGCTTCCTAGTGACTCTGAATACTTCTAGGGATGCCTCCTGTGGCACCTGCTTGCCATGTTCCTGCAAAGATACTGTGTGGTTCAGGACAGGCCTGGAGGTACGGGCTCTTGTCTGGTCTTTCCATAGAATCTGGACACAGATGGCAGGGACACATTCCTGGTCAGAGCCTGTTACTGGCCACCATCTCGACCTGGGCTCAGCCCCTTGTGCTAGCTTTCTGCTTTCCGATTGCTAGAGATTGAACCAAGTATTTTGCACATACTAGGCAAGTGTTCTTTTTTTTCAAGTGTTCTATTAAAATACATCCCTAGCCCTTTTCACCTCCAACTTTCACCTCTTCCTACTTTGGCTTCCTAATAGCTGGGATTACAAGAGTGTGCCACCACACATGGCTCTGCTAATCTTTGGTGATCCGTGTTGATTGGCTGTCTGGTAGGTTAGTCTCTATTTTCTGCGGGCAACATTTGCCTGACCCCAGCAGAACTGATGACTCAGGGTGGATACTAGCCATCTTCCATGTGTCCTATATGCTAACTCAGATAGCCTACACTTGGTTTGGAAGAGTCAGGAAGCCATTCTGTGCCGTGTGTTGTAGCTGGTGCTGGGAAGTGGTGACAGCTCCACAGGGCTGTATAGTTGGCTGGGTGCACAGTAACTCTAGAGTGTGTTGTCTGGCTGCCAGATGCCACCAATGCTGCCAAGGAAGCTCTGAGTAGTGGCAGGAGCAGACATGCGCCACACTAACTTGTCAGAGGTAGGAAAACT